AATTAAAATATATTAAATAGGTTCTTTGTCTTGGAGCTTGTGCAACAACTTATACAGAAAGTAGTTTACCTGCAAGTGTTTTTTCTGGTGCAACAGCTTTTCCATTTTGGGATGATTTATATATTTATCCAAATACATCACAAGGCATTTATTATCAATCAGAAGGAAATAGTCCAAATAGAAAATTAATATTTGAATATTATATGAGTCATTATATTGAAATAAATCAATATTATCATTTTCAAATTATTTTCTTTGAAGATTCTCCAGGTATTGTTCAATATAAATATTTTGATGCAACTGATCAAGGTGATACATGTACTATTGGAGTTCAAGGTAATTCATTTATTATTTTTACAAATTATTTTAAATAAATTTATTTTCATTTGTTTTTTTTTTGTTGTTTATATATTAAGGTTCAAATAGTGGTCCATTCATCATGTATTCATATGATCAACACAATTCTGTACAAGAAAATATGATTCTTACTTTTGATACAATTCATGGAACATATAATAAATCTACAATAATATAATTTATAAATAATATAATCTATATTATTCTACATTAATCATCAATATATAATATTATATTTATTATTATTATTTTCCTATGTTTTTTTCTTTTATTCTACTCTATAATAACGAGTAGGCCATTATAATAAATGTCCTACTTTTTCATTTCAGTTTTTCACAATTTAATACGTTCTATTAAAAAAAAAAAACAAATTCTATCATAAGATACAGTGTAAAATGCTTTACAATTAATACAAGATAGCTTTTTTCTAAACTTGCACTTTTTGCTTTCAAAATCGACAAAATTTGGAGCGATCAAATTTTGATCTTACGAAGACGATAGGCTTTTTTTTTTTGTTAAAATATGAATTGATTTTTTCTCATTTCATCTTTTTATCACCTGATATATTCTATTTAAAAAGAAAACAATATATACAATTAGATGCAATGTGAGAAGCTCTACAATTTACACAAGATAACTTCTCTTACAATTATATTTTTTGTTTTCAAAATTGAGAAAAATTCTGACCGATTAAATATTGATGCTACAAACAAGTCATTTTTCAATAGATGACCAATTCATTCTTTCATTATTTATCATCTGATGTGTTTTATTAAAAAGAAATAAAATATACCACAGAATGCAGCTTGAAAAGCTCTACAATTTACAGAAAACCACCATATTTCATAGTTGCACTTTTTCTTTTCAAAAACAGTTAATCAATCAAATTTCGACCATACGAAAACAATATTTTTTTTGTAGAAGATAGATTTTTTTTCTTATTTCATATTTTTATCAGCTTATATATTTTATTTAAAAACAAAACAAAACAAAATATATCACTAGATATATCGAGAAAATCTCTACAATTTACACGAAAGACATCTTATTGTAATCGTTTCGTAACAAAATTAAAATTCTCTATGACCGATTTTCGCATAATCGAAATTTGATCGTTTTAAAACTTTGACCATTTTTTAAGTAAAAAAGCCAACTATAATAAAAGTGATCGTATGTTAATTGTAGAGCTTTTCACGTTGCATCTTATGATAGATTTTGTTTTTTTGTTAATAGAACGTATTAAATTGTGAAAAAATGAAATGAAAAATTAGAACATTTATAATGACCCATCCGTTATAATTATAGATAGATGATAATATCATTAGAATATTTTAAATCAATGATATTCTATCGAGAATATATTCAACAGGTATATGACATGAACACATTGAGAGATTTATTCTCTCAATATATTTTATATAAACAACAAAAAATAATATTTTTTATTCAATTAACAATGTTTACACCTACAACAATCATATATGACTTTTTTTTTCAATAAAATCAACAGATAAATATTCGTTTATTTTTTTTATCATGTACATTGATATTAAAAGTAAAATTGTTTTAATCAAATAAATAGATTTGACAAATATATGCAAGTTTAATACACACGCATTAATATTAATTATTCATAAAAAAAAGAGAAAGAAACATATGATTAACAAATAAAATAAATCAATATAAATCTTTGTTTTTCTATCTAAACATTATTATTTTATTTTGATTGTGGTTAAAGACTATATTGCTTTTTAAATGACCACAATTTGTTTATCCATCGAACATTATTTGATTGATTATGTTGACTCTTTGTTGAAAGATCCTCTTCATCATTATTATCATTCAACAATTTTCTAATTTTATCATCACGATGTTCTTGATAGATTTGACTTATATATGTATATATCAAGAATATCAGTCAATGGTGGGGATTATTTTTTTAAAAATGAGAATTTATTTCAGCACCAAATATAAGAATAATGGCAAAGTAATAGAAAAAGATAATAAGAATAACTGAAAAACCAATTTGACCTCGAAACAATAAAAACAAAAAACAAAAATAAAAAAGCCAACTTTTGAAATTCAATGATGGCCTCAATCAATGATCCACACCATTTTTTTTTCTCAAATTCATCTTTTTTTGTTTTGAGTCAATCGATAGATCATTTGAAAAAGTCCAAACAATATTGATAACGATATTAATATTCCATCTATAAATAGACCAAAACGATCACCATCTTTTAATATCGTATTCATCAAAGAAGATGGTTATGAACTATCAACAAGCATTAATATAACAATCATAATCAAAGCTAATAGAAGAGCTAAAGACATTAAATTTTGACGTAAGAATGAACGTTGATGTAGACGATAAATAATTGTCATCCTTTTATCAATGATAAAAAACAGACGAGACACACAGAATTATAGCAAATAGAATAGCAATGACAAATATAAATCCATCATCTTTTGATAATTGATTAAATGCTAAATCGACCATTTAACACATATTGAATATAATTGACTAGATTTTTCACGATAACAATTCGATTTATAATCATTTAAGAGAAATTTTTCAATAGAAAACTAAAAATTTGATTTTTTTATTTAAATTAACATATCAAAATTCTTATGATAATAAAGAGAAAAAAACATTTATTCTTACTAATATATATTAAAATAGTCGATTTTTATTAATAAGAATTAAATGAAGAGATTATTTTAAATAAATGATATTTTTTTTTTTTAAAACTGATTATTTATTTAAATTAAATGATCAAATATTAGAATTTTCAAGATTTATTCCTATGAATATATTTCGAGTGATTGATTTTAAAAAATCAAACAAATTTTTTTTCTTTTATCGAGCTATAAATGACATCTTAGAAATAGTTATCTTAACTCTTATCGATCTTAACGAATTTAGTATCAATTTTTTAGATTTAGAAAATAAAAAAAACAAATTAAAAAAAATACTATTTTAAATTGATAACACTTATAACTCATATTAAAGGTTACATATTGACATACTAGATTTTACTTTTTAACTATTTATTAATTTAGAGTTTTAAAAAAAACAACTTGAATTTATTTCATCAACTATTTCATTTATAAGAAAGATTTTTCATAAAAACTATAGTCAATAATCAACTATCGATGTATTATATTTAATTAATCTCTATATATAATAAATATTATTAAATAGTTGAGAACTAGACAAATAAAAGAATCTTTTTAAAAAATCTTCACTAACTCTAAGTTAATCAATAGATTCGATTATTTTAGAAATTAAGATTATTTTTTGACAAAGAATATATTATTAACAACAATTCATATATAATTATATTTGATAAAACAATTAATGTTAGATGAGAGAAAGAGAGAAATTTTTCTTATATTTTATTTCTATGATTTTCTATTAAAGGTAATATTGACTAATTTCGAAATAATATATATACCATAATATATTGATCAATAACTCGAAATCGAAAAGAATAAAATATTTCCTGTTGTTCAAATCATGATGAAAGATTCATATGTCAATTATTCTTCTGACGATTTGTCGAAGATTAAGATTTATAAAATAGACTGATATATATATTAAAAACTGATTTATTGTATTATTCTAATCAATGCATTTTAAAACTGATTGACATTTTCATTCATTGTTCGATTTGATTAATTAAAACCAATGTTTTATTTAATTTAATTAAACGATGGAGATAGAAGAATAAAAACCAAAAATGAACTGTTATGAGTGTGAACGGAGAACAAGAGAAAAATAATATTTCAAGAATAGAACATTAGACAACAACAATAAGAATAAATAAACAAAGAAAGAATTGAAAAGCAAGGAGTGCATTCTATTTTTGTTCTCCTATTTGACAACTATAGAGTAGAAAAAAAAAAGAGAAGAGTTTAGTTCATTTTCTAGATGTTAGTCATCAACGTTGTTCAGATATTAACTTATCGTTACTGTCAATGACGAGCACGACAATAGTTTTTCTCACAAATAATTTTTCAAAATTTGCTGCGAGTTTCGAATAACTGCAGAGAAGAGTAGTGAAATAAATATAAGTTAATTGAATTCGACTATCCTCTCATATTATACACGTATATCTATATGAATTGCATAAAACCAAGTTATATATTTCGATAAGTGATTATGTTTCGAATGTATATTATATTGAATATATCTTCAAATAGATCAATTGTTAAATCTTGATTGTTTCTTTTTTTTTTAAATCTTAATAAAAATATATTGTGAATAATAAAAATGGACATAAGTTTGCTGTATTTAATATCGTTTTCACCAGTGATACATTCTTAAAACCTCAAGTTTTTTTTTTTTATTTGGAAATAATATTAAATTATCTTGATGAATAACTATATTATCGTTAGATTATTCTAAACGATTTCTTGTTTAAATATATTTTTTCATAATCAATATATTTAATAATATTCTTTCGGATAGAATAATCGAACAAATTAAAATGTATAAAGTTCGTATAGGATTAGCTTATTTAGATAAATAGTTTTTAATGTATATGTCACCAATCTTGAAATTGTCAAATTGGTCTATGAATTTGCTTGATCTTATTATTGTGATAAATATGAATATGTTAAAATAATCGTTTATCTTTTCTTTTTTCTTTTTTTTTCTTTTTTTATAAAATTATAAATAATTCCTATCGTTAAATTTAATCACTAAAATATTCATGTATTTTTCTTTGAATTCGTTTAAAATAAAATTGATTAATCATATGCTTCAATAATTTATTATTCTTTCTGTTGGCGTTTCTTTGTGAAACAAGGGAAGTTTAGCAATATAATCATATAAACATAATCAAAGAAAATATTTTCGTTTAATATAATTAATAAAGACTTTTTATTTTTAATATCCAGATTAACGAGTCGAGATTTTCGAAGAAAAAAATTTATTGTTAAAGAGAAAAATTTCTAGATAAAATAAAATTGACAATCAAATAGATTAACTTTTACAGATCAATTCATTCAATATATTTGTTCCTCCTTCGAATTGTTGTTCGTCGTCATATAATATATAGATTTATTGAATTTTTTTTTCAAAATATTTTAAGAATCGTTCAATTAAATAGTAAATTATTCGATTAATATAAATGTGTATTGAATTGAATTGAACCGATTGATCATATGTTT